AGGCTGTCTCTCTCCGAGGCATGCTTCCAGTTCCGAACCGAAGCAAATTAGATTTTGCCGTTCTTTTACAATCATCTTTTCTTAAGCGTAAGTGGACCTTGAGCTAATGCAACTGCCTTGTTTGTAACATATGATTCATGATGGACATTTAAAATGATTTAAAATGTATATTTTTGATCTTGTCTAGACTAAAGCGCTGATGGACAAACTGCAGAAGACTGTGTCCTCTGAGGGGAGGTTTAAAAATCTGAGGGAAACCTTAAAAAAGTGAGACTTTTCAGTTTTTTTGTAATTGCACATTTTACAAATGAGACATGAAGAAAGTGATTTATTGAATTTATTTAGTTGTTTTATTTGTATACACATGATTGCGTCACGTTTACCTCCTACAGCTGCAACCCTCCATGTGTGCCATACCTGGGAATGTATCTAACAGACCTGGCCTTTATCGAGGAGGGAACCCCTAATTTTACAGACGAGGGCTCGTTAACTTCTCCAAAATGAGAATGGTAGGCATGAAGAAATGCAGAAAGCGTCTGCAAATCATCGGTTCATGTTCACTGTGCTTTTTTTTTTGTCAATATGTGGACAAAAGCGTCTGCTAAATGAATGGATTAATTAATGATTTTCTACTTTTTCTTTAGATATCACACATCATCAGAGAGATCCGACAATTTCAGCAGACTCCGTACAGAATAGAGCATCAAGCCAAGGTATTTGGTACACACACACACACACACACACACACACACTGGACCTTCTTTCTTAGCGGAATGCTTAATATACAAAAGTATGAACTATATTCATATAGCAATAAAAAAAACGATGACAAAGTGCTTTATAACAGATTACCAGAGGTCAACACATTAGACCGAAACAAAATATATGAAATGGAAAGACTAACGATTCACTTTGCAGCAAGTGTTTAGACAAAGTCTAGACACAAAGTTTAATGACACAGATGCTCCATGGAGGGGCTTGTTTCGGCTGTTATGAAACGATGACTCCCTTTGATATAAGATCCACTTTATGAAATGTGTCTGCTGAGAGTTCAGGTCATTGCCCTGCAGAAGAATCTTGTATAGCCACTCCTCTGTTTCTGCCACAAAATACCTATCTTTTAAATCCACATTTTAACCAACTGTACTTATATACATCTCATCTAAAAGGGGACATATTATCCCCTTTTTCCACCTTTTCAAACAGTCCCCTGTGGTCTAAATGAAGCATCTGTGCTGTGCTTTGGTCAAAATATAACATGAATCAAGCACCAGAGGAGGTTTGTGACCCTGTATAAACCAGCTTTCTCAGAGTGATCCGTTTTGCTGTGTGTGTCTCTTTAAATGCAATGAGCCCCCCCCTGAGTTTCCCCAGTAGACATCACTCCTTTGCTAGTGAGAATAAAAATGAGAGACCTGCGCAAAAGTTTTGCTCTAGGCTGGGGGTGGAGTCCATGGGTGGAGATACCAGGGGAGGGGAGGATATTTTTTTTTTTACCAGAATCCCACTGTGACATCACACAGTGTTTTAAGACTTATGCAGAACCCAAACAATGGACTGGACGGGTTTATTTCACGTTTTGTGGGTCGGTAGACACTCAGGTTAACCACATATATGTTCAAAAACACTGTAAAAGTGGATTTTTCATAATATGTCCCCTTTAAAGGAGGTGTTTGTACATCCTCATCCTCAACTATCTCTCATGAAGTAGGTGCGTAGGACATAAAACGATCTTATTGAAATTTATAATATAAAATAACATTGTTTTGGTTGTCAAGTGTGACAATGAGACAGCTCATCCTTAATTTGAAGATAAGAAAGTTAGTCTGAACTTACAGTTTATTGTACCTCTTTGATGTTTTCCATCCAGGTGACCCAGTACCTCCTGGATAAGACTCTGATCATGGATGAAGACACCCTCTATGATCTCTCTCTGAAGATCGAGCCCAGGCTTCCAGCCTGAGTTACAGCTGTTAGTGGCCAGTGGGAGCCTGCTGAACCTAGACCCCTGAGGGCAAAATGCCCACGTAATCACAAATGGGGCAGTTTACAGAGCGACATTGAAATGGAAATCAGGGGGATTAAAGTGAGAGTTTATTGTTGAATGAAATGGAGAGTCTAACAATGGACCTAATGAGGGAGCATGAGACAGGCTAAGGTTTTTTGAGGTGGCTGACTGATTGTTTTCAAGAAGAACAAGGAGGAAAAGGTTTTGATTGCATTTTGTGAGGGTTTTCAGGAAATGGTGTGTCGCTGTGTATTCACCATTCCTCAATGGAGAAGTATGGTGCACACGTCCACAGACAGCCTGATAGTGCAGGAAAGGCTGAATGGATGAAGTACAGTGGGTATAACAGAGATGTAGCATATACAGATAGTGTGACAGAGAGATGTTTGAACTGGTGTCTCTGTGCTGTTGTCTGTGATCTGTTGTCTGTGTTAGTCCGTGCCATGTCCCGGAGCGAGAGCCCCAAAAAAAGCTTTCTGTCATGATGGTAATACTTGCATGATTTCAGCTTTGGATGTAACTGTTGAAATGGCCTTCAACCTGACCCCTCTGACCCCTCAGCTTAGCACGCTTCACTCTAACCAGGGTGTCTCTCTAAGCCACTATGCATCCTCAGTGGGCTGGGAACAACAAAAGACTGAGCCTTTAAAGAAAATGTAGAAAAAACACAAATATGAAACACATTTGGGGCAAAACGAATAAAAAGTTTGATATAACACAATAAAGCGGCTTATTTTTTCATCGGTGAAACAATAAATTCAGTATTTTTTTGACTAAAAACTTCCCATGAGATAGAAAAGCAGATTTTTGAAATGTCCGCATGAATGAAACAAGTCTTTAAATTTGATCAGTGCCTTCCACTAGTGTAGGTCAATTTCCCCCCAAATAGTAATTCACATGGACTGAGTTTTATAGTTTTATCCTTCTTACAAATCTTAGGATTCCCTTTAAAAGTTGGACACTAGTGTCACTCATTCACCTTCTTTTTTTTCCAGAAAAAAGGTCATGTAGACTAAATAGTAGCATGTTAGTGTGAACACAGTAAAGTCTGTGCAGCATTGTATTGTCAGCAAATATCTCCCTCTAGTGTTGAATCATTGTTATAACCTCCACTGACCCAAAGCTTTGGCAGCGTTTGTGTGCACTTTGAATTCTTTTGGCTTTTTCCAGGTTTGTCACATTCTGATGTGTGTAGTCGGGTCCCGGTGTGTAACTCTGGATGTAGGCTGGGACAGTTTTTTGCACCCTTCTGAGATGTAGCTTTGCTTGAGTGACAGTATGATCGTTATGCTATTTATTTCATCAGATTCTGTATTCATGTTATTTTTGTACATAGTGACTCCACACATATCACATGATTGATGAGGAAATACTTTGAATTGTTATGCTGTGAGTATTGATTTGATTGTTTTGTCTCTTTCTAATTTTGCATCCCAGGCTCTTGTTATTGCAAGAAATCTGTTTAACTTTATTCTTAAAAAAAAAAAGAGTCTGTTGAAGGTTTAAAATGTAGCATTTGAATTATTTGAGTTTGTTTTCTGTACTGCTGATATGAAGAACCTAATTGTCTTGCATGCACACAACAGCTGCATGTTGTGCATGTCTGACTGGACGCTCCCTGTACGTTCTCCTTCTGCTACTCTATTTGAATATTGTCTCTCTGCTTTAAGGCAAACAAACAATATTTTGTCTGTTAGATCCGGCACATGTGTCTCCTAGTGTACGTCATACGATCAAGCATAATCTTTAGGCTATGTCATCTGTAAAACAGCCTGTTGTTATGCAGTAGCAGTGTTGGAATTGATGCAGGCCTCAATGAAAACAGGAAACAAAAACCTTGTTCTGTATTGATCAGAGGAAAGGTTTTCAGGCTTCGCTTTTGGAAAAACCTGTCCTTTGCACTGCGTCTGTAATTCTGATTGTCTCATACATATACAGGTTTGGGAATACAAGATGCTATGTGTGCTCTGTAATATTATTTTTGTGTATTTCTTTGCAATTTTCACTTGTAGGTGCAGGGGAAATAAATTCAACATGCCTTATATGTCTGTGTCTTCTTTGACCTGTCTGTGCATTCATTTCAATGATATTAGATTGTTTCTCCTTCTTCTTCCTCTGGCAGCTGCTGCCCTGGATTTAAACCCCAATTTTAATTTTCAACATACTATAGTGAATCCAACAATCTCTGGTGATTCCACAAATTTCATCTACAGTATATACAGCTAAGGCTGCAAAAGTCTGAGGGACAAAAGAAGAACTGTCTTTGTATGTTTGTCTTAGTAAGCAAAAAGAAAACACCAACATCAGGCTGCATACACCAAAAAAGTGTCTAGTTTCTAATAGAAAAGTACTTTTGTAATAGTGCACTTTTTTAATTGTAACTATGGAAATACTCTTGAACATCTAGGGTTTATCTTGTAGAGATGTCTCAGTGTAGACCTTTAGTACAATTCACCAAAATCAGGACCGAAATATTTTGTTTGCGCTAGAGCTCTGGAAGAACAACCAGCTCTACAACCAGATGTTATTCCAGTGTACATACAAAATATTAGGAGAACCAGGATGTTCAAATTCGGTGCAGAGTGTATGTAAACTTCACGGGCCAAACACAAATCAAACAGAGTGTATTAACTGACAACAATTATTCTTGTTGGTCTAAAGTTTGGCAATCTCTGTCTTTGACATCCTCAATGATTCTCATGTTGTCTGACCTGCCTCTCATTGTGCAAGCACTGCCACCCTGTGGTGACAAATGGCAACACCCTTCTTTTGCACTTACATTGGCATGGCCTGTACACAACAATTTGATCTTGTATGCACATTACCTTAGTAAAATATCTTAACTATTTTACCATCAAATTCAATGACAATGTGCAGAAAGTGTAAAGAACTCAACACCGTTTGTAGATTTAGTCATGTAATAGTAAGGATGTAGGGTAAGTACGGAGATTAAACTGTTGGATCTTTTGTCAGTATCTACATTTAGAATAAACCTCATATTTGTATTTGTTTTTTGCAGAAAGTTATGTGAGTAAGGACAAGGATGAGAGACAGAGCAGCTGAAGTCAGAGGGAGTGAAAAAGAAAAATGGTCTGGTGTGAATCCCACACAAGCTGAACAAGTGTGCTGCAAAGTGGTAGAGCTGTTATTTCCTAATGTTGCTGAGGAGATATGCCAAGTTGTGAGTCTGATGACAGTTTGTAGTGCTAATCGAGTGACTATGTTGTCTCTCTGCAGGAGACTTTTAGCAGATCAGACAACATTTCTGTTTCTGAGGGCCAGATGGACGACAGTTTGCTCTAGTTTCAAAACACTGTGAGTGTGACATCGTAGCTGCATCAATTAAGAGACATCAACTCATGGACTATTTTTTTTCTCATGTGTATTATTTGGTTAGCGTTGTTTCTTCACAGCGAGAAGGTTCCTTGTTTTCGAATCAAGTTGGACAAGAGCCTTTCTGTGTGGAGTTTGCATGTTCTCCCTGTGCATGTGTTGGTTCTCTCCGGCTTCCTCCTGCAGTCTAAATGAATGCTCCTCATATTAATTGGTGACTATAAATTGCCCTTAGGTGTGAATTTGATGGTCTGTCTCTATATGTTTTCCCCTGTGAATGACTGGAGATCAGTCCAGGGTGTACCCTGCCTCTTGCCCGATGACAGCTGGGATTTGCTCCAGCACCTGCGACCCTGAATGAGAAAAAGCGGTTTAGATAGAGGATGGATGGATGGATGTATTATTTTTGAATAAAAGGAACAAGGTTATTTTAAATGCTCCGTTATTATAAAGCATTTAATGAAAAAATAAGTCCCTTAAACTCTTTGCACTAGCATATACCTGCTGTTCTTTATGTAGCATTGTGCCTTCTTTGAGAAGTTACGATGTGTCATTGCAGTATTGATGTCACACAGAGTGAAAAAAAACTACAATGACACCAAAACTAAGAAAGAATTTTGAAAAAACTGGATAAATCCATTGCTGACACTGCTCTAGACAGATAAGTGAGCCTTACCCACATGTTAATTAGTCTTAGTAGATGTATATTCATATGTAGCATGGATTACTCTATATTTGTGTTTCCACTGATACGGTCAGTTAAACAGAGTTATGCATGTCAGATGGGTTCCTAAGCAACAACACTGAAAGATTGCCATGTACTCACGACTTAAGCCTTGAGTTTTGTTGATGCTCGCTTCACTTAAAGCTCCTGTGAGAAGTTTTCAGCTGATAATGAAACTAAAATGAATAGTGATGTCTATATAAGCCAACAAGATCATCAGCAAGATTTACTTTATCTATATAACCTTCTTTTTAATGTCTGAAGCTGATGCAGTGGGGTCGATGTCAGAGAAAGTCATTACCATCATGAACAGGACAAATCAGAGGTTTTCCACAGGGGACACCAAAGTTGACACAAACTTAAAGTTCCTCACAGCAGCTTTAAAAGTTTACGATCTCACATAAATCTTTTTTGTTTGAGTAAAATAATAAAAAACAGATGCATAAACAATTTTAGTTTTTTTTGGATGTCCTCAGCTTCTGCTATGATTGAGTAAATACTAGAAGAACAAAAACTCACTCTGTTTAACCTTTTAGGCTTTTAGGACCAAAGGTCTGCTTGGATATATGTAACTGGGGTAAGTAGCACTGTGTTACAAAAAAAAAAGTTGAGATTATTACAGTTAAGAAAGAGCACATGAAAAACTCCAGGCTGTGTTTATCTTATAGTGCTAAAACAAGAGCTTTCAAGTTTTACGAGGGCCTCTTGTTTTCCGGATCCCAAACAGAACATTAAGGTTTGACCCTTTGGCTAGAAGTGTCACCAGGCAGGTGGAGCGGATCACCAGCTCAGTCTTAAAAGATGAGTCCAATCCTTTGCATTGTGAGTTTCAGCTCCTACCTTCTGCACGAAGACTTTCAGTTCCAAAGGTCAGAACAAAGCGCTTCAGGAACAGCTTTGTCCCAGCAGCCATTATAGAGAGGAACAAGTCATAGTTTCCTCTTTGCTGCTTGATCTTGTTGTTGGTAGTTTCACAAAGGCCTTGCATGGAGGGACAGGGATAGCAAGCTGGGAAGCCGTCGTCATGCTTCTTAATGGTTCTTTATTCATTTTATTATTAGTGGGAATGCTGTAAACAACATTGTTATTCAAATCTTTATTATTATTCCTCTACTTCCATGCGTTTTTTGTCCCTCTTCTCCTCTTCAACCGTTTGTGCTAATTCCACCATTCAACTATCATACTATCCGGCTTCTTCGGGACATGATGACTATGACTTTTCACTTTTTAAGTTATTTCACTTTTTCCACAAAATGTTGCCCCATTGAAATGAATGGGAAAATTTTCCACTTTTCCACTTTTTTCTCAGCCTTATAACTTTGGCTGTGTTCCACCTAGAGACTCCATTTTTGCTTTAAAACGTTCACACACTTCTCCACTATTCATACTACTTTCACTTTTCTTGCTGCCTTTTATACTTTTCAAACTGTACCTCCAAATGTTTCGTGATGTTTTGAACTTTTTTCACATTTTAGAGTGCGTGACATCATCGCT